TTATTCGCTGATTTTCTTGACAAAGAATTAGGTGGAAAGTTTCAAAACACTAGTCTACGATGCCGGAGATCGAGCATAGTATACTAAAATAAAGTTTGAGTGTCCTATATTTAAATAAATGATGTTTTTCTTGATTAGCACATAAAACTGCATAAAATGAGCAGTTAGAGATCAGCCTTATTTAAAAAGCTTCTCACAATTAAATTACTGTAAATTAAAGAGTATTTCGCACATAAAGCAATCAACAAGAGTGTGATGTAAACAGGTAGCACTGCTACAAATGCCTAAAATAATGTACTAAATCTTATTGGCGATACTAAACTTCAATCAATCGAAAATCCCATAGACAATTACATTAATAAAAAAGGGATTAAAAATATATACCTGAAGCTCTTCAATACGGCGCTCAAGACCAAGAATCCTGAACTCTTTTAGCGCTAATTGCACAAGACGCCGGCATCTTTCACGCACCGCAGTATGATGAGCAGCATTAGCATCTGCCCTAGCAGCCTCTAAACTTGCCAAGAGAGCTGTATGTTCCTCAGGAGGTATTGATTCGGCTAACCGAGTCTCTAGTTGTCGAAGACGGGCATCAGCCAGGACAACTCCCACAAGAGACTCTGCGGCGGAGACGTCTGCATTACAAAACTTTACTTGAGAAATTGATCCAGTTTTGGATAATGGGACGCAATTTTGAAGAGGTGAATAAATAAGGCTCGAATCTGAAAAAAAACAGGGCGGGAGCCAGATACTTCAGATAATAAATTGAAAATGAGTTGAAGAGTGAGAATGATTAATAAAATGGAAGTTGGAAAATTGCAAATTGTCACTTATGCTGAGATTCGAAATAAGCTCAAAAATTAAAAACAATTCGGTCACCAATGCCGAGTAAAGTGATTAAAAGACTAAAAATGGAATTCTCCCGCAATGGTATGAATAGGACTCGCGACGCAATTAAATTTCGCTTACCCTCGCCTCATAAAAACAAATCTCATCCAGGCTGGAGTGTAGTTTTAACCCCGCCTAGGTCACCTCCGCACCCTCAGCTGGATTCTATACCAGGTCGTAAATGCCGTGGCGACTTTATACGACGTCGATTGTAAAGGCAAATATATATTTGCTAATAAGTAATTTGACCTTGTTTTTGCAACTTACTCATATTGGTAGGAAGACTTAGAGGAACGCAACTTATCCGGAGTCCATTGTATGCATAATCATTTCCAAAGTCGGATCGTAGACGTGGTACATTCCCAGACGTTTCGCCGGTATCGTGAGTGAGTTTTGCCATTCGTAGCACCATATTACAACTCGTCAAAGAGAGAAGTGAAGCCGATCCTTTGACCAAATGTTTTCAGAACAGTTATGGTATCTCCCCTTCTGCTCTGGCCTATTCACATTTCCTATATCCTCATAGCATGCCTTCACTGTCACCATTTTTACTTGCTTAATTAGACGTGGTACGGTGTGCCCTTTTGAGCGAATTTCATGAGAACCCTCCGCACTCCACACTGGCCTTCTCACCCCCTTCCTCCTTGTACTGGGAATGTTGATCAGAGTCTGCCATATTGTTACGCAGTCCCCCTTCCCTAGGTCTTACCACAGTCTCTATCTTACCCCTAAGATCCGTCTGCCCTCTCCCTAGTTCACATACTTCACTCGACCCCCGTCACCCCATCTGTGCCACTCAAGGCGTTATTCGCCCTCCCTTGCGTCTTGGTGACTAATTCGAGGCTAAAGCCTCTGAGTAAGTCTCATGTTCAGGCCTTTGCCACAT